AATTTGGAAGGGTACAAAACCATCTTGGCTACCAATATTCAAGAAAATGCCACCAGACACATCAGAAAGCGCTTCACATTGCATCAGGACAATGACCCAAAACTCCCTGCCAGTTCAGTCAAGGAGTTTATCAGAGCAAAAAAATGTAAAGTCTTGGATTGCCCAAGTCAATCTCCAGATTTAAATCTGATTGAACATGAATTTCACCAGCTGAAGAGGAGACTCAAGGCAGAAACGGCCCAAAACAAGCAACAGCTGGAGATGGCTGCATTAAGGCTTGGAAATGCATTTCAAAGGATGAGACCAAGAGTCTGGTGCTATGGTTCGCAGACTCACTGCTCTGATTGCACGCAAGGGATCTGCAACAAAATAATAGCTTTTAATCTTTTACATCTGCCTTAATATTGTATTGCAAAACACTTTTGCTGCTATTGAGGTGGGATATGGGTAAGGTTAGGGACAGGTTTGTTGGTATGGGTAGGTTTAAGGGTGGGTTAAGGTGTAAGGGATGGGTCAACTGTGTAATTATAAATGTAATTACACAAATTAATTACAGATGTAATTACATGCAGGTATTTTTAAAATGTAAGTACAATGTAAAAACGTGTATGTACACAATAAGTGCATTGTACCAAATTATTAACTTAAATGTAAGTACATAGTTGTTAAGGCCACTTAATATAAAGTGGGTCCATTTATTTATTTATTTTTTGCAAAAAGCATAATATTGTTATATATACTGTTGCTGTGGTCTGAGTTGGTATAAGTAAGGTTGCAGGTTAAGGTCTCTTACTGCTGTCACTACCAAGGATGCTGTCTCTATGATAAGTGTGCTTTGGATAAAGGCGTCAGCGGCATGTCAAATTCTGTGTCCTCAGCTGAAGGAAGGGGCGGGAGATGCTGCAGCAGCGACAGTAAAGCCTGAGGTTCTGGAGCAGCTCGGAGAGGCCATTTTTCTCGCTGAGGAGGCATATCCAGGGATCTCAGATGTCATGGTCACCCAACTTATTCAGAGGCTACAACGGTAAGGACAGCATACTGCAGTACTGATCAAGCCTCATGTAGCTCTTTACTGCAATAGTTCACCCTAAAATGAAAACTGTCATCACTTGAACGGTGCTCAACCTGGTTGCATTAGAAAATTACTCGCATTTCCCCAAAATTGTTTTTGTTTTAGACTTCACAGTTGGAATAATTTTGGTATTATTACAAGTCGCAATGACGTGTGCCTACTCTAGAAGAAAAGCAACTCATTTTAACTTAAATTTCATTTATAAATAGAAGTTGAAGTGAGGGTGAATATGAAACATTCAAAAAGTATACTACCATTCAAAATATTTTTGAAATCTTTTTAAATTAAATTATTTAAATGTTTTTGAAAGAATACACAGCAAATATTATAAAATATTATTACAATTTAAAATAACGTAATGTATTCCTTTGATGGCAAAGCTACATTTTCAGCTGCCATTACTCCAGTCTTCAATGTCACATGATTATTGTTATCAATGCTGAAACAGTTGTGCTACTTAATAGATTTATGGAAACCATAATACATTTTCAGGATTCCTTGATGAATAGAACATTTATAAGAAAACAGCATTTCTTTGAAACATCACTCTTTTGTAAAAAAAAAAAAAAGGCTTACTGTCACTTTTGATCAATTTAGTGTATCCTTGCTGAATAAAATGGTATACTAAAATACCCTCAACCAAACAATAAAAAAATGGAAAAAAAACCCTAAACTTTGATATTTTGTATTTTTTTTTTCAGCAACATATCAGTGCTTTTAAACCAGTACTTGCTTTGATGTAATGGTCAGAAATTCTTTCTGTATAATAAACAAAACATCGACCGGTCAACGAGTAAGCTTCCTTCATGCGCAGATTCTTCAGCTTTCGTTTTCTTACCTGTAGGTTCTCTAGGGGAAGAACATCATCCTCATCGCACCAGTGATTATTCCATTATCCTGTCCGTCTCTCTTCAGTCCCGCCCCCCGGCATCAGCTCAGCGAATCCTGACACCAGCAGACTCTGTGACGTCTACCCTGGAGGACCAACTGTCCTTCACTAGCTTATCAAGAGAACTTATCAAACTCCTCAAGCTTCCCCTAGTTTCACGTTTCTTTTATAATCTCAATCTCCTGGAACACTCTTTGGAGTGTGAGCGTATGTGTGTGTGTGCGAGTATGTATGCGTAATGGTGCGTTTGTAATAGAGACCGTTTAAGCAATGGACAAAACGTAGATGTAACTCCCTTGGCTAAGCTCAGAGCGAGATGGAGGCAGGTCTTTTTGCGTTATCGTACCCGAGCTTTTGGAAGAATGCATTAAGGTGTATGCCATCACAGGGTGAGGAGACCGGCCCGTCGCCGCCTCCTCCACCCTAAACAAAATACAAGATAGTGTGCATGACTCTGAACAAAATGCATGTGTGAAGACGGATGTCTGTCGGAGTGTGTGTGCGCATCCGAACCCTGATGTGAAGGAGATTGCAGTTCTCACGCTGAAATCTCAGGTAATCTGCGACGAGCAGACCAGTCATCCAGGAAGACAGAGGGCGCTATGTTTGGATTTGTGTACAGATCTGTGTATATAGTCTCAATTTTACAGACCTTTAAAAGAGATGATGGATTTTTGCAAATTAATCACTGTGTACAGATGGCCAAGAGCTTCTGTAGATATTGTTAGAAACAAAAGAAAGGTAAATATTTAAAAATCAAGCCTCTGAAATGGCCGATACTGAAATGCCTTGCCTTTTTATCAAATGTACATTTTTGGGGGTGCTCTGTTAATTTTAATAAGAAATTAAAGGGTTTTACTCAAGGTTTGAGATCCTACCAATGTTTCTTTTGTCTGTTTGTGAGCAAAAGCAATCTTATATAGTAGTAATGATTTCAAAATAATCATTATTACTGGCAAAATATTTTTTATTGTGAGGCATAAGTATATTTTTTTATTGAAGCACTTATCAATAGTTGATTCATTCATAGCTTATTGGACCCAATGTAGTTTAAAATCCACTTTAAAAATTATTTAAAAATTCACAGAAGAAAACACTGAACTCTAATGCCCATAGCTGGTGCAAGTTATCTGGCACGTTCTTTTTGTAACCCCTTTAAATATTGCAAATTTAGTTGCATTAACTATTGTGAAAACTTTAAAATATTTTGTTTCACCCATTACTTGGTGTAGATGAATGGCTATTAAAGTGCCCCGATTATGGATTTTTGAAAATTACCTTACATGCAGTGTGTAACAGCTCTAAGTGAATGAAAACATCCTGCAAAGTTTTCAATCTGAAAGTGCACCGTGTATAAAGTTATTGTCTCTCAAAAGAAAGAGTTGACTCTGAATCATTGAAACGAGTCGTTTTTAAAACGAATCCCAAGCCGTTTCATGTTGACTTGAACATGAAACATTAGTATATTGCCCGCCCACTTGTTGGTCTTTTCGCGTTGGTCTGAATGAATATGCAAATTCATTCTGTGCCACTAGGTGCCGCCAAAGACTGTAGAATACCTTAAAGGGGTCATATGATGCTGCTAAAAAGAACATTATTTTAAAAATAGCTGTTTTCCCGGTAACGGCTGTACACAAAGCAGCACTGCGCTCACAAACGCTGCTTTATCAGTCATTACAGGCATGATGAAATGAAAATAAGACCAATCGGACCAATCGCCGCAGATTAGCGTCACACAAAGGAGAGGTTTGGAAAAATTAATCGTTGAGCGAATCATTTGGGAGTCGTTGAGCAATTAAGGTAAAAATAAATGCATATTATAAGACAATGAAAGTGTTTTTTGACCTTGCATGCATGTCAACCTGTTGTTGGGGACTCCCAAAACCAAAATATGAACCTTTCTTTACCCATAATAGGGGCACTTTGATAAAAATTTAGACGCACTTTAGAATATTTTCTGAAAGATCCAATCCACAATTACAAAAATTCCTTGAAGTACAAGAGGGAATCAGCATTCAAAATTGAATTTAATAGCAGTGTGATGTACTTCTACTCTTTAGTTTCCATTTAAATGGGTTTTTCCATGATATCGGTAAATTGCGTTTTCCATAAAAGAGCGTCTCTTCAACTCATCTATTTATTGATAGTAACATCATATACTCATAAATAAAACCCGCCTGCAAAGGTACCAACGCAGGTGAGAGTAACACATGGCCACTTTAACGCTGATCTCAACCATATCAAACTATGAAACTACCAAACCTTCTGCCCATGGTTGTCGTCCCAAACACACCATTTAATTTCAGGTAGAATTTGCTTTCCTTGGGCTGATTTAGGATTGTGTTGTATTTGTCCTACTGCATAACAAATCCCAAGCCCAGCTTTGATAAAAATGGTGAATCAGTTCTTCGATCAGTAGTAGTAAAGGGAACACCAACACTTTCAAACCACAGATCAAGAGAAAAAGAAGTGATGAATCTAGATCTTCATTTGTTTGACGTCTGTGTTATTTGACGTCTCGTTGTTTAGGTACGCCAAATTGTCTTTGGTCGTCATTTCAAGCTCTTTCTTTTTCTTATCTTCTGGCTCAAGCTCCCTAAATTTAGCCTCAATTTCCGTCGGGTCTATGTAGGTGTAGAAGTAAGCCATGACCGCAAAGATGATACTCACGGCCACCAGGAGAGACGCGAACAACACGTATTCTGCCCACTTCAACAACACATAAACACAGATGAGCTTATAGCAATACGGATGGCAACAGTAATTGACATTTGACCAGGATTTCGTCAAAAACAAATAGAGCAGTTCATGTGGTATACCTGATCTGGAAGTGAGCCTGCCTCAGCCACGATGAGCACAATGATGTTCCCCACTGCAACAGTCAACAGCCAACCAGCCTGGAGGACTGACTTCATATTGCTTGGTGCCTAAAAGGTAACACAGCCAAATTATAAGTACTAATTCAAGTCATCTTGCAGCCACATTATAAGTTTGCTGAGGCCCTCTAGTGGGCCCCAGACCCCTGCTTGACTAATGGTGTAAAAGGATGGCATACCGTCATCCGTGGAACAAAAAAGATGACTTTTTTTGGTATGATATTTTATTTATTTATATATATATTTATGTATTTAAAATTGTATTTAATAATAATAATTATTAAAATTGTGTCTATTAAAATGAAACTCTTCTGGGCCCCACAGACTTTCATTTCATTGCTAAAAATAGTTGAAACACTTCAAAATATATATATATATTTTTTTTTAGTTCTTTTGAGGAATAAAATTGCATACAGGTTTGGAAAAACATGGGTGCAAGTAAATATAAGAGGCAAGCATATTAGATGTTTCTAGTTCTAACTATTCCTACTAGTGTTCATACTATAATCGCTGACTGTAAAAACATGACTTACAGTTTCTCCAAAACTAAAGGTGCTTGGGATCAGGACTGTGTAGGAGCTTCCGAAGCCCAGCTGCAGGATGTAGTGGCACGTCTGTCCTTTTTCATTCACAATAGTAAAGTTGGCTCTGGGAAGGGGGGTATCAAATCAAATCAGTGTAGAAAAGCAGCGTAGCAATGGGTTTGCACTGCTTTCTATTTTCTGCTTTCTGGGTTTGCAATTTTCATCTGTACAAACAGCTATCATGTATATGCATTTGTATATATATATTAGTAACTGTAATACACAATACATACAACACAACACATACTTGCCGTGGGGAACGTTGAGGTAGCCTGATACTTGTAAGGGAGCGATGAGACCCAGATTATCAGACTTTATTGTGAAGTTCAGATGAGACCTAAAGCCATTCACAAACCTACAACATATGTTTGCTGTTAATCAATTTGAATAGTATTCCATTTTCAAAACACCTCTTCCAATACAATTTGAAAAGAATATAAAAAAAATGATTTCGAAATGCACAAACCTGATCGCATTCAAGCCTTGATTCGGTTTCTCGGTTATGTCATTGAGCTGTAAAAAAAAAACAAAAAAACAATCAGAACACACTCAATATTACAGTAATAATTACTGTATACTCATGGCATTAAAATTATCAAAATAATTTACATTTATTTAAGATATTTAAATAATACCATGATTTTTTTTTTTATTATTGAATGTAGCACTCACAGTCTAGCATTCCATCAGTATTTATCAAAACCGTGTGCCTTGTTTTCTTCTGGAAATAAGCTGTAGCGTTTTTTCCTCCAGCAGAGACTGTAATGTTCTCGGTGTCAAGTGTCATATAACCATTAGAAGACTGGGGGAGCAAAACAACATAAAAGAATTTGTAAGATGATTATGTACAGTTTACATACAGCACATATGCATAATGTTTCCTCAACTACAAGCATTTTTATGTCCCAGGGATTTATTTTTATGAAAAAGTTTTCTTTTCAACATGCACTGCTGTTATAAAGTTTCAGGTCAGTGTTAGGGTGAGTCTGATTTTTTTTTTTTTAAAGATTTATTTATGGCGTTTTATGCCTTTATTTAGATAGGACAGTATAGGTCGACAGGAAGTGAAGTGGGTGAGAGAGAGGGGGATGGGATCGAGAAAGGTCCACGAGCCAGGACTCGAACTCGTGACACCCGAAGTGCAATAGCGCTATATGTTGTACTGTCCACAATAACAAACAATTTTGCACCAAATAAAGTTTTTCACAAGTTGGTTACCAACAAGGCAAGGTTTCAAATTATGCAAAAACGTGTGAAATGTTAATTAATCATGTATTTAGAATACATAAATGCTAACTATTAAATTAACCACCGTGAGACAAAGTAGGCTATTTTATTCCAAAAATATTTACAAATGTCATTTCCATCACAGAATGCTACTGAATATGTAATTTAGGATGTGGAAATAACACTACGCTCTGAATTTTTATTTATTTTCAGGGAAAAAAAAATCTGGCAGGTCTTAAATTTTGGAAAATAAACCTCGGATGACCAACAACACATGACATATTGCACCGTGTCCTTATTTACTGAATAAAAATAAAGCCAAAATGGAAAAACCATGTGTGACAAAGTTAGGACACCCTTACTGTTAACATAGGAATTAAGAGCATAAGTAGCAGTGAGGCACTGCTAATCAAATGCCTTTGATTAACTGATCATCAGCAAAAGTGTAAGCACCTCCATAAAAGCAGAAGTTTTGGCAGTTTGCTGGTCTGGAGCTTTCAGGTGTGTGTTAACACAAAGCCAAGGAGGTAAGACATCAACAATGATCTTAGAGAAGCAATTGTTACTGCCATCAACCTGGGAAGAGTAATACGACCATTTCCAAACAATTTAAAGTCCAATATTCTACAGTGAGGAAGTTTATTCACAAGTGGAAGACATTCAAAACAGACATCAATCCTTTCAGGAGTGGACGTCCCAGCAAATTCACCCCAAGATCAGACCGTGTAACGCTCAGAGAAATGGCAGACAGCCCAAGAACTTCACTGTAGACTCTACAGGCCTCAGTTAACATGTTAAATGATAAAGTTCATGACAGTACAATTACAAAAATATGGGACAAGTTTGGCATGTTTGGAAGGCTTGCCAGAAGAAAGCCTCTTCTATCTAAAAAAAACAAAAACACGGTTTAGGTTTGCATCTGAACAAACCATAGGACTTCTAGAACAATGTTCTTTGAACAGACGAGACCAGAGTGGAGATGTTTGGCCATACTGCACAGCGCCACATTTGGTGAAAACCTAAAGAGCATATCAGCACAAACGCCTCATACCAAAAGTCACACATGCTGGTGGAGGGCTGATGATTTTGGGCTTGTTTTGTAGCCACAGGACTTGGGCACCTCACAGTCATTCAACCATGAACTCCTCTGTATACCAAAGTGTTCTAGAGTCAATGTGAGGCCATCCGTCCGAGTTGGGCCACAATTGGGTCATGCAACAGGACAATGATCCCAAGCACACCAGCAAATCTAACAGCTAAAAAGAAAAGAATCAAGATGTTGCAATAGCCCAGTCAAAGTCCAGACCTCATCCTGACTGAAATTATGTGGCGAGAGCTGTCCATAAACAAACCTCAATAAACTGGAGCAATTTTGTAAAGAACAGTGGGCCAAAATTCCTCCAGAATGATGTGAGAGTTTAATAAAAACTCGATAAAGTCATACAGAAGTGTATTACTTCAAGTTATTGCTGGTAAAAGTGGATGTCATGTGATGTTCATCTGAGGTTTTATTTTCCAAAGGTTAAGACCTGCCAAGGACCAGATAATTTTTTATTATGTCCTGATACAGAATACCATGGAATTCAATAGGGTGTCCTAAATTTTTCATATATATGTACATATATATAAATGATAGTTTTCCTGTGATGTATTGTTGGACACTATTAGACATAATAGTAGTTAATTTAAAAAATACTAGTAAGATTGTAACATTTTCTGAGTAAAAGTTTCCGAGTTGTTCATAGTGCCAAAAATTCCCATAATTTAAGAGACACCCATTTGTTACTTTCTTTTAATTATGGTTTTCCAACTCTTTCAAAAACTGTTTAAGTTTGATGTGTCATTGTGTGAACTTACATCAAAACCAGGAACAGCAAACTGTTCTTGCCCCTCCACTACAACAGGCAGTGATGTGTTCTCCAAGTTCAGGAACTTCACCTGGATTTCAGAGCTTGGTGGGAAGTCGGGCATTGTTTGCTGTTGGATTACAAGACAATTTATTTTCTTTGCTAAGAATGTACAGTATATCAAATGCATTGTGACAATTATTGTACCAGAAAGCTAAGGGCATAAAGCAAGCCAATAAGCATGCTGTACCAATAACAATCTAAAAGAAGCATCAGGTTTTGTTTCTCAGATATCATTGCAACATATCTACTAGACTGCTAGGTATCTGTTACTCACGTCAATTTGAATCTGCAAAAGAGCAGCAGCCACAAATGCTAATGCAGCCAGCAGCATACCAACAGTCATCCTCCGCAGGGGCCTGGGAAACACCGCACACACACACACACAAAATCACACAGTCAAATAACATGTCATGTTTCAAAATCACAAAGGCAAATTCAGTAAACATTATCCAAGCACTTACGTGAAGTTAATATGGCACTTCTTGATAAGTGGATACACTGCAGAGTCCATGATTGGCACCATTATCACAATCAGTACGGGGTTCACAATCTGAACCAGAACGTAAATAATGAGTACAAATGCACTGTATGTACACTACAACGTACAATATTATCATCACATATTGTCCTGATCATATCCTGTTAATCATAGTAAAACACAAGTATAGACACACAAAGCAAACCGTCTAGAATAAATCAGTCTCACCTGCATCTGATCGGGCTGAATTATAAACGCTCCCTATGATGACAGAAAGAAAGAACGGATATACACCATATAAAATATGACAACATAACTGGACAGATATATGTGCATTTGGTAGTTTTCGTCAAAAATTTGAAATGCATTTTTTTTTTTACTTACAAAGTTACCATCCATAGTGGTGGCTTGAAGAGTCCAACGGGAGCCCTGGAAAGACAACAAAACTCTCTTTTAACACCAAGCCCAAAAACAGATGAGTGTTTGTGCAAGAATGCATATTTGATTATGGCATTTGTAGCATCGTTGTGTTTCTACACTGACCTGCTGGTCAAATAAGGCCCAGAACATTGGCAGAGGGATATAGAGGAACAGAACCTTCAACACCATCTTCACCTGAGCGATCAGGAGTTTCTGTAAAAAGACAGAATGTCTGTGAACTTCTTAGTTAATTGACGCATTGGTGCATATTTAAAACATTTCATCATGATGGTTTATTTAACATACATCATATTTCTCTTCCGCCCAGTCCATCCAGTGCTCTCTCTTGGGGAATTGCTTACTGCGGTGATTGAAACTGTTCTTAATTGCAAACTATAGAAGATAAAAGAAAACAATCATGCAATTAGACTTTTCCACATGACTTCATGTTACCAAATCAATTACACTACCAGCCAAAGGTTTTTGAACTGTAAGATTTTTAATGTTTTTTTTTTTTAAAAGAAGTCTCTTCTGCTCACCAAGACTGCATTTATTTGATTAAAAGTACAGCAAAAACAGTACAATTTTGAAATATTTTTACTATTTAAAAATATTATAAAAATAAAATAAAAATACTGACTCCAAGCTTTTGAATATTATAGTGTATCATGTTACAAAAGCTTTTTATTTCAGATAAATGCTGATCTTTGGATCTTTCTATTCATCATTCAAAAATTTACAGTTTTAAATATTGATAATAATAATAATAATCAAAACAAATGTTTTGTGAACAGATAATCAGCATATTAGAATTATTTCTAAAGGATAATAAGACACTGAAGATTGGAGTAATGATGCTGAAAATTTAGCTTTGATCACAGGAATAAATTACATTTTAAAGTATATTCAAATAGAAAGCAGTTATTTTAAATAGTAAAAATATTTGATATACACCATATAAAATATGACAACATAACTGGACAGATATATGTGCATTTGGTAGTTTTCGTCAAAAATTTGAAATGCATTTTTTTTTTTACTTACAAAGTTACCATCCATAGTGGTGGCTTGAAGAGTCCAACGGGAGCCCTGGAAAGACAACAAAACTCTCTTTTAACACCAAGCCCAAAAACAGATGAGTGTTTGTGCAAGAATGCATATTTGATTATGGCATTTGTAGCATCGTTGTGTTTCTACACTGACCTGCTGGTCAAATAAGGCCCAGAACATTGGCAGAGGGATATAGAGGAACAGAACCTTCAACACCATCTTCACCTGAGCGATCAGGAGTTTCTGTAAAAAGACAGAATGTCTGTGAACTTCTTAGTTAATTGACGCATTGGTGCATATTTAAAACATTTCATCATGATGGTTTATTTAACATACATCATATTTCTCTTCCGCCCAGTCCATCCAGTGCTCTCTCTTGGGGAATTGCTTACTGCGGTGATTGAAACTGTTCTTAATTGCAAACTATAGAAGATAAAAGAAAACAATCATGCAATTAGACTTTTCCACATGACTTCATGTTACCAAATCAATTACACTACCAGCCAAAGGTTTTTGAACTGTAAGATTTTTAATGTTTTTTTTTTTTTAAAAGAAGTCTCTTCTGCTCACCAAGACTGCATTTATTTGATTAAAAGTACAGCAAAAACAGTACAATTTTGAAATATTTTTACTATTTAAAAATATTATAAAAATAAAATAAAAATACTGACTCCAAGCTTTTGAATATTATAGTGTATCATGTTACAAAAGCTTTTTATTTCAGATAAATGCTGATCTTTGGATCTTTCTATTCATCATTCAAAAATTTACAGTTTTAAATATTGATAATAATAATAATAATCAAAACAAATGTTTTGTGAACAGATAATCAGCATATTAGAATTATTTCTAAAGGATAATAAGACACTGAAGATTGGAGTAATGATGCTGAAAATTTAGCTTTGATCACAGGAATAAATTACATTTTAAAGTATATTCAAATAGAAAGCAGTTATTTTAAATAGTAAAAATATTTACTGCTTTTGCTGTATATTGGATCAAATAAATGCAGGTTTGGTGAGCAGAAGAGAATTCTTTAAAAAACATTAAAAATCTCACTGTTCAAAAACTTTTGACTGGTAGTGTACATATGAACCATTACTGTTAATGGTTCGTATCAAGAAGTTCATATAGGCTACGTTAATGGAGTTACTGTGCTTAACTACAGCACATATGTGACCCTGGACCACAAAACCAGTCATAAGGGTCAATTTTTGGAAACTGAGATGTATACATCATCTGATAGGTGAATAAATAAGCTTTCCATTGATGTATGGTTTATTAGGATAGGACAATATTTGGCCGAGATACAATTATTTGAAAATCTGGAATCTGAAGGTGCAAAAAAAATCTAAATATTGAGAAAATCGCCTTTAAAGCTGTCCAAATGAAGTTCTTAGCAATGCAAATTACTAATCAAAAATTAAGTTTTGATATATTTACGGTAAGAAATTTACAAAATATCTTCATGGAACATGATCTTTACTTAATATCCTAATCATTTTTTGGCATAAAATAAAAATCTATAATTTTGACCCATACAATGTATTGTTGGCTATTGCTACAAATATCCTCGTGTGACTTAAGACTGGTTTTGTGGTCCAGGGTCACATATCATTTCAGCTTAAGATGTGGTTTTCATACTATCTATACTATATATTATAGACTTTTAACCTCTTAAGACCCGAGAAAAATTTTTAGGAAAAAAATGTCTTTACATTGTTTAGAGCATTCAAAAAATGTAAAAAAAAAAAATTTTAAAAAAAATTATATTTCGTTCATAAGTTATGCTATGTCCTCGGTAGAGGACATCGGGACTCAATAAAAAAAAATAAAAAAAGACATGAATGAACATGCATAGGCAAAAACAATAGATTTTTAAAATCACCAATACATTTTTAGTTTTCAGGATTATTTTTTTTTACCAAACTTTGTATAAAGATGATTCTCAACTATGTTATAACAGAATGATTTGATATACCATTTTTCTTTCTGCAAAATGTGTGTAAAATGGCCATAAACGGGTTTTCTCATTATATACAATGTATCTATAAACTAAATCTAATCTGCATATTAATGTGTTTTTGGGGCAACATGTAATGAAAAAAGAAGTGTAATAATGGGAGTAATATTTGACAAGATTTTCATAATAATATATAATATTTCAGAGAATATTGAAACATATTTTCTTTCCCTATTAATTTGTTATGTCTCCCAAAATGCTACTAAACATGCTTTTAGTCCCAGTGTCCTCATATGAGGACATGTATGAAATCAACATCCTGTTTCGTAACAGAAAGTCATATTTTGATTTGAAACCCCATAACATTTTACAGACAGTTTAAAAATTAGACAGATTTAAATGATAATTACAAAATATTATCATATTTCCATAAGAGTGTCACTAAATTAATATCAGACATATTTGAAGACCAAGGAGAGGGAGTGGTCATAGTGAAACATCCAAACATTTAGTATCTCTGAAAAGCCCTGAATGTGCTCTGTACAGGACATCCAGACTTAAAACGGTGGCATGTATAGTCTCAGAGAAATACACCAAAATATAATGTCCTCATATGAGGTCAAAGGGTCTCAGGAGGATAAGTTTTAAAATCTCTCATTGGCCTAATGTTTGGCCTTCACTGCTGGCCGTGAAGTCATTATAATATTTGCATACAAAATTTTGATTGTTTATCAAACATGCAAGTTACACTGTCTTTTAATGAAAAGTGAACTGTAACTGAGGGGTCTCATTTTATCTCTCCCTTTTTCCAAAAACGTAACACTATTTCTTAAATAAAGCATAATTTTTTGTCGGTGCTCTTACTCCAATGCATTTCATGACTCGCAGCAGGATGTTGCCTTTGGGGGATTCCATAATGTACATGCTGTGACCTGCGATGAACACTACTGCAGAGAGAAGAAGAACCTCAGTCGATCACGGCTCCCATCGAGTGGTCATAAAAGGTATTGCACATCAAAATAAATACAAGTAGACTGAAACTGCTGAAACTTACCGAGGGCAACCACCATGAGAGCTGCAGGGACCCCAAAAGCCAGCGGGAAACAACTTTGCTTTGAGTAGATACCACACTCTTGAGCTAACAAATACACACAAAGACAAGACGGATTGTTCATAAGCATATTTACCAATCTACCATGTATTAAAGGCAGGGTATGTGATTTTTCAAAAACACTTTAGAAAACTGATTCGGGCCGAATAGCAAAACAAACTTGTAGCCAGATGCGGTTACACTTTATTTTAAGGTGTCCTTGTTACGGTGTAATATTAATTAACTACATGTACTTACTATTTGGTTAGGGTTAGGTTTAGGGTTTGGCTTAGGGGTACTTGCATGTAGCCTAATTATGCATAATTTATTGTTATTACAATAGTAAGTACATGTAACATGTGTAACAAGGACACCTTAAAACAAAGTGTTACCAAAGATGCTATTCAGATTGTAATTACTGTAAATACCTCTCAGGATGGGTGTGATGAGAGTGGAGAGAAGACTGCCAGCGTTTATGGACAGATAAAATATGGAAAAGAAAGTACTCCTTTGTTTTTCCTGAAAAAAAAAAAATCATTATTAATATATTTTATATACACTACTATTCAAACATTTGGGGTAAGTCATTTTTTTTATGTTTTATTATTACTCTTTAATTATAATTTTTTTTTATTACAATATTATTACATTGTAAAGTAATGGCTTCAATTTTAATCGATTTTATTCCTGTGATGGCAGTTTAATTTTCAGTCTTTAGTGTCTTACAATCCTTCAGAAATCTTTCTAATATGCTGATTTGGTGCTTAAGAAACATTTCTTATTATTAGTAGTATTGAAAACGTGTGCTGCTTAATATTTTTGTGATGACAATGATAAATTTTTTAAGGATGAATTTTTATCAATTCTTGCTGAATAAAGTATTATTTCTTTTAAACAACAATAAAATATTTTGTAAACCTGTCTATACCATAATAAAAATATAACTTTAGGATTTTAAGCCAATAAGATAGTATCACTTGTTGAGTTTCTCAGAAGTCTCTACTGGCTGAAAACATGGGAAAAAATGTTACAATAAGAGGAATGCTGACTTTACCCTAATAGAAACACCAGCATTCCTCAAATTGTAACATTTGGTCCAAAACATCCATATTTCACACTTTGAATTTTGGCCTTTAGACTTTATATCCTTGTGGCAGGGGTGGAGGGGGTGTAGGAGCCTACAAATCACTTAAGTATCTCTATTTGTTAATCTCTAACACTCAATAGAAGAGACTTAACCTTGAACTGATAACAGCTGATTTACACACAAGAATGTGCTGCTATGCTGGAATGCAGTTCATCCTCTTTAATAGGGTGTGTTTATCTGTTAATTGTGTGTGTGTGTGTGTGCGTGTGTGTGTGCGTGCATGCGTGCGTGTGTGTGTGTGTGTGTGAGTGTGATGTGTGTGTGTGTGTGTGTGTGTGTGTGTGTAAGGATCCACATGCCTGATGTTCTTCAAACTGATCTCCTCCAAACGCTGCCACACAGGGTTTAATACCTCCAGTTCCCAAGGCAATGAGCATGAGTCCCAGCATGGACATGGCACTAAAATAAAAGAGAAGAAATTCAAATTCACACCAAATAATGTGATAGAAATCACATAATAACAATGTCAGTACATTTAAAATGATTGCTGTAAGTAGCACCTAATAAAGAGCATGCTACTTTTAACTTAACAGGTTATTTGGGTTGTTTACAATAATATAATAACAAAGCATATCCCAAGCAGTAACTCACGTATGGAAGGTCATGTTGTCTGGTGTACCGTCTCTGTTGGTATCTGTGATATCATGGATGGCACTGATAGCCATGATCACCTGGCCGATGGTGTATACTATGGACAGATACACGATAGTCCTGCGAAAAGTGGAGAATGGAGGTCATGTTAATACACATATGTATTATAGTAGAAAAAAAATCATAATCTAATGTTGTTGAACTAAGCCTTTTGACTGTGTGACAGTGTACTTAGTACAAGTGTATAAAATGGGGTCCGGTGACCGCCAGGAGGCCACAAGGTGGTGCTAGGGGTCCAAGTAAATTTTCAGGGGGAAAAGTTATAAAAAAAAAGGTTTTGATCAGTATTTATTGTGAAAAGCAAAAGGCAAATAAAATTGAGTTATTAATAATAATCTTCGATTTATATTTTCTTAAAAACTATTTTACCGATTGTTTTAAAATAAATGTAAGTTACTGCATTTTTAATATCACACTTATTAATTAATTATTCATTTATCTCAAAATGGGTTTTAAAATAATCACATTACCGTTCAAAAGTTTCAAGTTGGAAGGATTTTTTAAATGTTTTGGAACAAAGTCGCTTATGCTCATTTATTTGATGAAAAATATAGTAAATAATACTGTAATATTGTAAAATATAATTACAATTTAAAATAACTGTTTTCTATTTGAATATATATTTTTAAATGTCATTTCAGCCACCATTACTCCAGTCTTCCGTGTCACATGATCTATTCTAATATGCTGATTTGGTGCTCAAGAAACATTATCATCAAAGCACAGTAGTAGTGCCGCATAGTATTTGTGGAAACTATGGTTCCTTTTTTTAACAGTAGTATAACTGTAATGTAGTGTAGCTGAAATTCACTGACTTTATCACATATTGCATATATATATGTGACCCTGGAGCACAAAAGCAGTCATAAGTTGCACAGGTATATTTGTAGCAATAGCCAAAAATACATTGCATGGGTCAAGATTTTTCTTTTATGCCAAAAATCAGGGTGATAGGTAGCACAGAGCCACGAAGGTGTGGTAGATAGTGGTGGACAAATCATTGTCCCATCCGATAAAATACTTGAAGTACAGCACCAGCACCGCTGCGACACACAGAGACGGGAAAGGAGAGTACAGCAAGAGATGAGTGACACGTATTAAGAAGGAAAGAATGGGAAATACTGATCTATGTGGATGAACAAGTAAAACAGAGCAAAATGTGTTTGGTCTCACCTTTCATGCCATAGTAGGAGAATCGCTCACAGAACTCATTCACCACAATGAAGAATATACTGACAGGATATCCCAAGCAACTTGGCTACAACAAAAAACCACAGCTCAATTAAAATATTTCCTAATAACTTGTATTTTGACAAATTAGTATTGTATATTTTTGTACTATAAAAAACAGTGCTTACTAATTGTGCTGACATAACATATTTATTGTACAATTAAAAAAAATGATTACATTTAACAAAATACAAATAGTAATTCTGTGAGTAACTAGCACAGAATTAAAAGTCTTACACTATTCTTGGTCTTCTTTGTCCTTTGTTCCTCTTTGTCTGCAAAAATGAAGTGAAATGTCATTAAAATAGCTCTAATATGGATTCAGTTTCAACTTATTGAATTCAAATGCTATTTCAAACATTTTCACACTGTAACATTTATGGACAATTTGTGCATTGCCCTATATAAGCAAAGAACACGCACAATTACTCTCCATGCACAAACCCAGAGTTAACAGGGATAATTATTATTATATTGTTCCATATCAACATCCAGGTTTACTCACCTGCCATGATGACTGCTTTGCCTGAGGCTGTCTTCTAGTCCTCTCGTAAAGAATATCCTTTAGTACAGAGACGCACACTCACACTCACTCACTCACTCACTCACACACACACACACACACACACACACACACGACCCGGGACAGACAGAGCTGTAATCTGAGAGAGACAGGTAACAGGGTTTTATAGATTCTGGACAATAAATTGTATCCTTGGCCACCACTGGGTTAAAATGAGATTGACATAGATGTTTATGACAGTGTTTGTGACTGTGTGTGTGTGTGTGCGTATGAGTGGGTGCAGATTAGTTATTTATGGCAGTCTTATCAATTGATACTGAAAATCAAATTGTGTGAACGTCTGGCCTTCCTAATAAGACAGGCAAGTTAATGAGTAATTAATATACTAATTATTATATCATTCAAAAAAATAAAAAATACAGAAAAGTGCAGAATGACATTGTATTCCTATGAATTTTTTTTAACAAATCAAAGATGTAAATTAATTTATTCTTATATAAACTTGTCTTAGCAAGTATTTGAAAACTATTTCAAGTCACTTTTCTGGTGTTAGAATTATTACTGGGTAGATAAAATCCTGTGTTTATCTTACAAAACCTTATAATATGAATTATGTTGAATGGTAAATGGAGGCTGATTTAATATAATAATTAACTCTCATAGTTGAACATACTGTGAAGTTGGAGTGATGTGAATGACACTTTCACAAAGCACATCGTCAGCTGTTATACAATGTTAAAATGGCTTACTTGAGCTGAAAAGCTGAAGTTTGGAGAGCTGTAATTCATCGGAAGAGAGGTAAACAAACTGCCCTCATCCACACAGAGATGTTGCTGCGAATGCTGCGATACAATGGCGACAGTGGTGGAGAGGGCAGGGGGAGTACGGCGTGAGCGAGTGTGTGTGTTGATTGAGAGTAAGTCAGCAGGTTTTATTCAGAACGCACTTTAAAAACAAAACTGAACCTGATACTTTGTCAATATTGTCTATCTCTTCTAAACCATATATAACATGTATGGTGATTTAAAATTGGCAGGATTCAGATATGAGAGCATAAATCGTGCTAAAGGCCTCATAATCTGGGGTAAAAAAATGCAGTGTGGAAGGCCATAAACCATACATTAAAAAGACCATAAATATTGTATAGATGAGGTTTCAATGACCTTTATAAGGATCTCGGTTGGTAAATAATAAAGTTCACAGTAGTAGAGATAAAGTATGTTTAAGGGAAGCAACTGATAAGAATGAAAACCACATGAAAACTGATGTAAGATAATAAATTTTATTCAGAGATTTTAGGGACATTAATATATTTCCAGAACAGATTCATTTTTTAAATAAAAATACCCCCCATATCTAACCCACGATATAAAACAATTTACAATTAAACAAACATAAACGGTTATAAAAATCCTTGTGTTTATCTCTTTTGTCCATATATATTTAGATATTTCACATCTAGCCTTTTCACTTTGGCAAGAGATCTTCAGGAACCAAAACAGGACAAAGAAAGAGAATTATTGCACTCCGCTACAAAGAAACAGCAATTGTTTCTTGGCTTTTAATGAATAAAAGGAAAAAATGATGGAAGTGTGGGCTAAAAAGCTTGAGTGGCTCAGGTGATCATGGGTATTTTGTACAGTAAAGCTCAAACTTCCTGCTACAATGAAGCAGTTATATTCCCTTCACTACTACTCAATGGACGGCTGCTGCCTTAGACACAGGAAGTGATGTCGCAGCTTCTCTTTTAGCACAGAGCAGCAAAAAACATACAGAATTGGGGAATATATGGAAAGATGAAGCATTAAATTTAAGGAATGTGAAAGTAAAAAGGCAGATTTTTCAAGCTGAAAATAAAAAATACAGAAAAGTGCAGAATGACATTGTATTCCTATGAATTTTTTTTAACAAATCAAAGATGTAAATAAATTTATTCTTATATAAACTTGTCTTAGCAAGTATTTGAAAACTATTTCAAGTCACTTTTCTGGTGTTAGAATTATTACTGGGTAGATAAAATCCTGTGTTTATCTTACAAAACCTTATAATATGAATTATGTTGAATGGTAAATGGAGGCTGATTTAATATAATAATTAACTCTCATAGTTGAACATGCTGGCTGAAAGAATGTTGATTAGCTAGATAATGTTGGAACTTCAAAACATCGCCAACACATCATATGACTGTTCTAAATAACCCTAATAACACCATTTAGTACCCTGTTCAGATATAACTCCATAACACAGCCAAACGCAGCAACTGCGTATATGTATATATATATATATATATATATATATAAAAAAACAAGGAAAAAATGATAGAAATGGAAGTGTGGGCTAAAAAGCTTGAGTGGCTCAGGTGATCATGCATGGGTATTACAGTAAAGCTCAAACTTCCTGCTACAATGAAGCACAGTTATATTCCCTTCACTACTACTCAATGGACGGCTGCTGCCTTAGACACAGGAAGTGATGTCGCAGCTTCTCTTTTAGCACAGAGCAGCAAAAAAAATACAGAATTGGGGAATATATGGAAAGATGAAGCATTAAATTTAAGGAATGTGAAAGTAAAAAGGCAGATTTTTCAAGCTGTTCTGGTTGTGTAAGAAATAAAAGTGATAGTCTCCACAGGAAACACCTGTGAACGGAGGACTGGAGTGGATGAGAGAAGAACAAAAGCTACATGAGTCATATGGGAATAGTATGGGGACATTCCAAAGACCGGATACACCTGCTGTATCCCAGTGTCCTGGATGCTGATTGATGGGCGATTCATTCAGGAGTGTCGGACAATGAAATTCCATTCTTTCCTTGTTCTTTCGCTTTTGATGCATTTCAGTCTGTCTGTTCGTCTCTCTGGCTGTGGGCAGGGTCAGAGGTTTAAGGCCAGGGGTGAGAGTCACACGGAGGAAGCGGAGCTAGGCATGCCATGCAGGGTGGTTCCGCTGGGCGTGCCACTGATGGCATTGAAAATATGCAGCGAATCAGAAAGAGAGCTCTTGGTTCCACCCTCCACAGCGGAGATCTGATGAAGAGGAAGAGTGCAGTGTGAGAAAGAACAGATCAAACTCACACTTGAACTGTACTGTATTGTTTTTCATGTATGATTAATTGTATGCATTATTACCATCCGATCTACAGAGGCCAGCACAAAAGAGAGAGAACAAATATCATGAATATTAAATATGAACCAAACATTCATGGTAACCTACTAGTGTACTGGTGGCCAAAAATGTGGAATTATTATGATTTTTAAAGAAGTCTCTTATGCTCACCAAGCCTGCATTTATTTGATTACAA